AACTTTCATCAGCCTTTATAATGCTTGATAGTTGGACCATGTTGATCCCCAAAGGCCGTTATTAATCAACATATCAAGAAGCAATTCCGCCAACGTTAGCCATTTTGAACAGACAGCAGGTAATATTTTTGCTGTGGTGCCTGGAGAAGTTTGCCAAAAAAAAAAAGGGAAGTCATTACTGTGTCAGTTATTCCCCACCGTGCCTTATGACGGAGAGAATATCCCCTACCTGAGAAGCAATTCCCCACCACACCTTATGACGGAGAAAATATCCCTGCCTGAGAAGCAACATGTCAGAACACAAGACCGCAAGGGAGGAATACAACAGCATTAATCTTACTGGAGATATTTGAGTGGCTCAATCCAGAAATTTCTTTTCCTGTGAACGTGGACAAAATTTCCGAGCTTTTGAGGCCGGCCCGATACATTCTAGACACACATATGACAGTGACCCTAGCCCTTACCAAATGGACCAACCGAACCTGACAATGCTTCATACCATATGGGGCCAGCAGACTTGGCCGACATCTCAACAAATCATCCATAGTGATGGCTGGGCTGAACAGGTGGGCGCCTGCCAATAATGGGCACTCCTATTGAAAATGATTCACAGTTGTGTGCCAATAATGGGTGCTCCTATTGAAAATAACCCACACTTTACACCAATGTCATTATTATTTCGTGCTCTACAGGCGAAATTATTTTGAGCTCTGCAATGGGCGCAATTATTTTGCACTCTAAGGGCGTGCAATTATTTGTGCTCTAGAGGTGCAATTATTTCAAGCTCCACAAGAGGCGCAATTCTTTTGTGCTCCATGGGGGCACAATTATTCCGAGCGCTACAGGGGGCGCAATTATCTCAAGCTCCATGAGGGGTGAAATTATTTGCATTCCATGGGGGGCACAATTATTTTGAGCTCCATAAGGGATGCAATTCTTTTGCACTCCACAGGGGGTGCAATTCTTTTGTGCTCCACAGGGCGCACAATTCTTTCAAGTGCTACTGTATGTACCTTGTGCTGTTGATAGGGTCACAAATAGTCTGTATCCAGCATTGTTTCAATGTCAGAGTGTGCTGTGCCCAATGTGAATGGGCACCAAAGGTCAGAGTGCACCCAATGTGAATGTTCACCAAATGTGAGTGGGTGCCAAATCACTTATACCTGCACTAAGTATGCATCTGTGTCTGTTATTTTCCAGTTGTATTTCCACCCATTATCTTTTTGCATGAAATGTCAAGTGCGCCCAATGTGAATGTGCATGTGAGTGGGTGCCAAGTCACTATGTTCCTATGGCATTTATTTTGCACAAAAAATATGTGCCCCCCCAATTGTAGTAAATGCCTGGCCCACTTTGGCAGGGATTTATGGCACTGATGCACTGCACCCATTGGTCTCATTGGTGAGTCCTAACCTGTGCAATTATTTTGCACTCTACAGGCGCAATTATTTTGAGCTCCACAAGGGGCACAATTATTTGCACTCTATGGGGGGTGCGATTATTTTGCGCTGTAGAGGCGCAAATATTTCAAGCTCCACAAGGAGCACAATTCTTTTGTGCTCCAGGGAAGCACAATTATTTCGAGCTCTACAGAGGGCACAAGGCACAATTCTTTTGCACTCCAGGGCGCAATTACTTGCACTCTATGGGGGAGCAATTATTTTGCGCTCTATGGGGGCGCAATTATTTTGTGCTCTAGAGGTGCAATTATTTCGAGCTCCATGAGAGGTGCAATTCTTTTGCACTCCATGGGGGCGCAATTATTCTGAGCTCTACAGGGGGTGCAATTATCTTGAGCTCCATGAGGGGTGAAATTATTTGCATTCCATGGGGGGTGCAATTATTTCGAGCTCCATGAGGGATGTACGCTCCACAGGGGGCACAATTCTTTCAAGTGCCACTGTATGTACCTTGTGCTGTTGACAGGGTTACAAATAGCCTGTGTCCAGCATTGTGTAGTGAATACAAATGTGAGTGGGCACCAAGATACTGCCAGTGTCAGATTGTCATGCCCATTGGTGCTTCAGGTGGGCACCATAACTGTCAATACCGAGTGTGTATCTGCGCCCATTATTTTTCAATGTGTATCTGTGCCCATTATTTTGTGCACCAATTTTGCCATGTGGATTTCCACCAAACATGAGTGGGCGCCAAGTGTGTATTTGCGCCTATTATTTTTCTTCATGAAATGTCAGAGTGCGCCCAATGTGAATATACATGAAATATCGGAGTGTGCCCAATGTGAATGCACACAAAATGTCAGAGTGTGCCCAATGTGAATGTGCACCAAATGAAATATGAGCCCAATGTGAAGGTGTCCCAAATGCGAGTGGGTGCCAAGTCAGTATATACCTGCAACAAGTGTGCATCTGCACTTGTTGTTTTTCAGTATGTATTTGGAGTGCGCCCAATGGGAATGTGCACCAAATGTCAGAGTGCACCCATCAGAGTGTGCTCAATGTGTTCTATTCTGACTTTCTAAGGTGTCCAGACATGGGTAGGTGATGATACCTCTCATGCTCTCTCCTATTTCGCATTTTTCACTGCCATCCCATTCTCCTCCCATTTCCAAAACATTTTATGGTCCTATCCTGACTTTCTAAGGTGTCCAGACATGGGTAGGTGATGATACTCCCCATGCTCTCTCATATTTCGCATTTTTTACTGCCTTCCCATTCTCCCCCACCCTCCAGGTCACTCCCAAATCACATTGGTGCCTCCCAAATGCCCCATATTTCACTCTCTTGGATGGTACAGGATATAGGCTGGGCTCTGGGCTCCAGAAGTACACTCCCTGGATTAATCTACAGGAATTGAAGATGGAATTCCTGGAATGGTGGATGGATTTCATGAATTTTCGGGATGGATTCCATAGATTTGCAAGATGGCTCTCAGCCAGTAACCTACAGCTACTTTTATCCAATATATAGTTATCTTTCTCTTGCGCACTCAACATTTCATGCAAAAGAATAATGGGTGGAAATACACACTGAAAAATAACAGGTGCAGATGCATACTTAGTGCACACATTTGATGTGCATTCACGTTGGGCGCACTCTGACATGACATTTCGTGCCCATTTCACATTGGCCACACTCTGACATTGAAACAATGCTGGACACAGACTATTTGTGACCCTATCAAAGCACAAGGTACATACAGTGGCACTTGAAAGAATTGTGCGCTCTGTGGAGTGCAAAATAATTGCGCCCCTGTGGAGTGCAAAAGAATTGTATCCCTTATGTATGGCGGTCCGTTTGGGTAAGTATTCCCAGACTTCATGTGTCAGCACGCAAAAATGTATGTTGTGCGCAAAACTATTTGTAGTGTTGAGCAAAAGTAATGTCACTGTGCGGAATCATTAGTATACTTGTGCAGGATTAAGTTCAGTGCGTGCAAATGTTGATTGTGCGTGGAAAAGTTGATATGTGTGCGCAAAATTATATTTGGTTGTGCGGAAACTTTAACTATGTGCGCCAAAACTTATTGACAGATTTATGTGGTGCCCATAAATATTATCAAGTGCCGCAAAAACTCTTATATGTGCGGGGAAATTATTGGTTCCCTTGCACGGATTTTTTGGGTTCCTACCATTTTAGGAATGCCGTGGTGCCATGATTAGGTAATTGATCTTTATTGACAGCCTCAGGGGAGTTTGAAATAAATTGACATGTACAGTCATCCACCCCTTAATGATACACCACCCTCATTTGATACACTTTTGACTAGCAAATATCTCGCTCAATACTAGACCGAGTTCTACGAAACAAGTTGTAACAGGTAGTACAAACTCATATCTACCACCGTACATAATTTGGATGCAATTGAGGCAGAATTGGCAAAGCTATGAAGCATACAAAATGGACTGTTTTTCAAAAGTAGCTAAATACAGTCACACCCCTCAATGATACACCCATAATCTTGGTTTTTCTCTGTGCAATGTGGGTCAAACATTCTGAAATTTGGTATGGTTATAGAAGGGCATTTATCTGAGATTTTCATGTAGTTTTTGTAGAGAAAGGTTGTGCTCAAAG